AGTCATAAAAGAGCCAAGGTTGACTACCCCTGGGTTAGATGGTAGACATTGGTAGCTGAATATAGATCTTTTTAACATTCATATTTTATTGGGGTTTTTTTTAATCTAGGGGAAATGTCAATATATACTGCAGCTCCATGTATAACATGCCATATGCTAAATAAATATCCCACAGCTCGGCTGGCTATACCTAGCCTGGGTTCTGAAGAGCTGCTACATCCTAAGCAATGAGATCTTAAACCAGAGACCTGCACAGCTGTTTTTCTTCCTTTGACAACAGTGCCCATCAGAATTTCATTGTGACCTGTAACATCTTGGTTGATCTACGTCAGACATGTCAAACACAAGGCCCGGGGGCCGGATGAGGCCCGCGAAGTGGTTTCATGTGACCCGTGAAGCCATCCTGGAAACAGTGAGGGAACGGCCCCCACTGCCTTGGTCCTGGCCCAGGCAGGGAGCCAATGTACAATTTTGTGGTGGCCATCTATGCTGAAATGCATTCAGTCTTAGCTCCACAAGGCCGTCTGCAAACAGCGAGGAACCAGCCCCTGCCGCGTCGGCCCTGCCCCCTGGGTGCATGCTGGGGAGGGGTCACCCTTTGTGAGGAATGAAGAAATGCACCATCGCCTGGAAGTGGCCAGCAAATGGCCCTTGCCTACTTCACATATCCGGCTTGATGGGCTCCGGCAGACAGGCTTCAGCAGGCAGTGAGTTTCCTCCAGTGGACCATGCCTTGGCATATGCCCTGGTCCCACCCCCTTCTGCCAGAGACCCTCAGATCTGTCCTACTCCTGCCCAGGCCCCCACAGGCACCCTTGACGCGAACGATGTAGAGCTGGCCATGCCCACCCAGTAGGCCACACCCACCCAGTAGGCCACACCCACTCTGGCCACACACACACACCAGAGGGCAACCGCAATGCTGATGCGGCCCTCAATGAAATTGAGTTTGACACCCCTGATCTACGTTGTTGAGTCAAATGTGGCTTGCTACCTTCATTGCTGTCAGCTGGGCCCTTTCTGATTTGATCTGACCTGAATTAGTTCCCTATTCCACATATCAGTAAATGACTTTAGCATCTGCTCAGCTTTGGACACAGTTTTCCCTTTTTCCAAAGAGTGATAAAGTTGTTTTCTTTTCACCTTCCACTCACCTGTTTTGTTAAACTATCCCTGATGGCAAGTTGCTGACCATCATCCCAAATTCAGGAAAAGTTCAAATGAAGTTGCTTTGGCCAAACGTGTCAAAAGATGGAAGTTCCTTTAGGTCTTGGGCCTGTCTGGTTCTTGGAGGTTAGAAGGAACTTCTCACTTTAGTGCCCAGTTGAAGTCTAGAAGGGCACATATACATCCAGGAGCTCAGTAGGGGCTGGACTGAAAGGGGACTTGGTAGGCGTATACTGGGAAAGATCAAGAGGACAAAGTAACAGGCAGGCATGAAATTTGAATTCTAAGCTGCCCAGAATCCTTGATTAAGATGAGGAGCCTGGAGATTAACCTCGCCCAAGATTAAAATGGCGCTGTTCCATGTGCTTCGTTGCCAAAGTGAGGAGAGTAGGTGTGCCATTAAGAAAGCTCCAACAGGCTCGGGTCTCCTGGGCTCATTCAGAGAACATGACGGTGACTCCACTCCGTTTTTCTTCCAACTCTGATGAAATTTCAGATGAAATCAGGCATAGATTCATCCAAGGTCAGCTTCAGGCCAACAGTCAAGTAAGCAATACTCCAGTCAAGAAGAGCCATTAGTAAACAGCCCCAATCAAAGAATCCTTAAGACCACCCAGCCACCCAAGACGCCAGAATATAAACTGATAACAATCCCCACTCCTTACTAGCACTGATGATGTTACTTAGTGAGGGTAATGAAACATCTGCAAGAAAACAAGCACCAAGGATCCCTCAGATGAAATTGCCCGAACCAAAAAAAGCTTCTGAACTACAGAACAAAGGTCAATTGGCCTTGTGGCTTTCAAACAACATAAACTAAAAAAAAAAGTGCTTTTTTTTAAGAGTGCTTTTTTTTCATGCAGGGAGAAAAACTTGATGAGAGCTGAAGAGAGGGACAAGTCACCCTTAATAATAATAATAATAATAATAATAATAATAATAATAATAATAATAATAATAAAGTTGGAAGGGACCTTGGAGGTCATCTAGTCCAACCCCCTGCTCAGGCAGGAAACCCTATACCATTTTGGACAAATGGCTGTCCAGTTTCTTCTTAAAAACTTCCAGTGTTGGTGCATCCACCGCTTTTGGAGGCAGGTTGTTCCACTGGTTAATTGTTCTCACTGTCAGGAAGTTTCTCCTTAGTTCTAGGTTGCTTCTCTCCTTGATTAGTTTCCACCCGTTGCTTCTCGTCCTGCCTCAAGGCGCTTTGGAAAATAGCTTGACTCCCTCTTCTTTATGACAACCCCTGAGATATTGGAACACTGCTATCAGTGTTCCAATATCTCAGGGGTGCTCTAGAACTTTGTGTCCGGCAACTTGCTTTAAAAGGAGGAGGAAATTAGGGGATGTAGTTACAATCTGGAGGCTGTATTTATATAATGGCTAGGATAAATACTCAGCTAAGTCATTCTGTGGAGTCCTTGTGCTTTACTGAGGCTCCTTAAGTAGCAAATGCAACTGACATATGTGGAACAAAGATGATTAGGGGACTGGAGGCTAAAGCATATAAGGAACGGTTGCTGGAATTGGGTATGTCTAGTTTAATGAAGAGAAGGACGGGGGGGGGCATGATAGCAGTCTTCCAATATCTCAGGGGTTGCCCTAAAGAAGAGGGAGTCAAGCTATTCTCCAAGGCGCCTGAAGGCAGGATGAGAAGCAACGGATGGAAACTAACCAAAGAGAGAAGCAACCTAGAACTAAGGAGAAACTTCCTGACAGAACAATTAACCACTGGAACAACCTGCCTCCAGAAGCAGTGAATGCGCCAATACTGGAAGTTTTTAAGAAGAGAGTGGACAGCCATTTGTCTGAAATGGTATAGGGTTTCATGCCTGAGCAGGAGGTTGGACTAGATGACCTCCAAGGTCCCTTCCAACTTTATCATTATTATTATTAATTCAGTCAGCAAACCATAGTTTAGCAAACTATGCTTAATAATAATAATAATAATAATAATAATAATAATAATAATAATAATAATAATAATAATAATAATAAAGTTGGAAGGGATCTTGGAGGTCATCTAGTCCAACCCCCTGCTCAGGCAGGAAACCCTATACCATTTCAGACAAATGGCTGTTCAGTATCTTCTGAAAAACTTCCAGTGCTGGAGCATTCACCGCTTCTGGAGGCAGGTTGTTCCACTGGTTAATTGTTCTAACTGTCAGGAAGTTTCTCCTTAATTACAGGTTGCTTCTCTCCTTGATTAGCTTCCATCCGTTGCTTCTTGTCCTGCCTTCAGGCGCTTTGGAGAATAGCTTGACTCCTTCTTCTTTGTGGCAGCCCCTGAGATATTGGAACACTATTATCATGTCCCCCCTCGTCCTTCTCTTCGTTAAACTAGACATACCCAATTCCAGCAGCCTTTCCTTATATGCTTTAGCCTCCAGTCCCCTAATCATCTTTGTTGCTCTTCTCTGCACTCTTTCTAGAGTATCAACAAACCATAGCACACAACAAACTATGGCTCTTAAGGGACTATGGTGGAGAGCAGCACCTGTGTTCAGCACTTGGGGTAATTTCAGGTTGCATCCAGGGCTCTCTTAGAAGAGGTATAAAGTGAAGAGACGAACAGTACTGCAGCTGCCTTGCTGTTTTTGAACTACCCATCCATAGATATTCCCATGGAAATGAAACATGTAGCTTTCATTATAGACAGAAGCCAAAAAACAGAGAAATTCATTGTTATGAAACAAAGCTAAAAAAAAACCTTAACCATGATATACATGGTTAAAACCTTCACATCACTCAATCTTCAACAGAATAAACAAACCTCAAGGTGAAGGCCCTAAATAATACTATTGGTTATACAGCAACAGATTCTACTCGAGGCCACTAATTCCCATCATCCCCTGCTTCCAGCAGGTCCCCACTCAGATATATCCCTTTAGGCTCTGTCTCTTGATCCACCATATCCTTAGTTTTTAAAGTTCTCCCAGACATCATAAAAATCAACTCCAGTTCTGATGAGAATAAAATATATTTATTTGCTTGTTTAACTTAATCGTTGGCCATCAAGGAGACTTTCCAGTCATATATTTCTACTGCACAAGTCCTGTAAGGCAATTGTGGCTAGAAAAATCATAGGATAGCATCTTAATCTTCTTTCATACTTAAGAGTCTACCTGCTTACTCAGATAGTTAGTAACTGGTTAGATTGCATCAAAAACCATGGACCTCTAACCTTATTGCACTTAGAGGTGATTGAGGTAGGAAGAAAAATATGGAACTGGTCTGTAGTGATGTGGAGCGGATCAACAATCCATCTCCAAAAGCAAAGGAATGATAGAAGATGAATTGGATCTTGCTGCCTTCCGGAGAATCTTTGGAGCATGCTAAATTAACACCATACAAGCAGATGGATAAACACTAGGACAGAAGCAAGAAATTGAACTGGAGAGGTTGGGAAGTGTGACATGATGGGAACACTGAAGATCTCAAAAGTTATTTTGAGAACAGTTTGGGACTTTGGCTGAGAAAAAAAAAGCCCTTGCTGAGTTGAGAAAGAGGCACCCATGCACTCAGCCAAAATCTAAAACTATTTCCACATGGGAAATAGAGGGTCCACCCATTCCTGTGAAGCTTAGGCCTGCTGCCAAAGGTCATCTGAGGGCAAAAAGGTAGATCTTTTACAAATGGCTAACATCACAACCTCAAGCCAGTCAACGTAGGGCCATAGCTTGATATTGCAAATGTCCCGAGTCTGACACATCTGAAATCCAGGAGCTTTCCAGTCCCCAATTGACATTCCTCTAGAGCAGGGGTAGTCAACCTTGGCTCTTCTGGGAGTTGAAGTCCACAAGAACCAAGGTTGACTACCCCTGCTCTAGAGCATCTCTCCATTCAGGTTGTCCTGTCCTTCTGGGCCTACTTCTCCACTTGCTTCTCTGCTGCGATCTCTTGCAGCCACCTGATTGTGCGATTCCGGCTCTCTTCCCAGGTGAAACGGGGTGTGTATCCGAAGTGGCTCAGGGCCTTGTCAGTCTTTACGGTGAAGGTGGTGCTGACGATCACCAGGGTGTAGGTGTTGAGGATGGGGGCGTACACGAAGAAGGGCTTCAGGAGTCGCTGCAGGATCACATTGACCAGAGCTATCAGCTGGAGGAGAAAGAACGGCACCAGGGGACGGGAACCCAAGAGGCGGAAGCCGCACGGCTTCAAGAACTCCATGTTAAAGTCCTCGTAGCTCTTGTAAGGAGAGTCGTCATAGCAATAATAAACTTGGGCCCCGATGGTTGAGGGGTCCTCTTGGATCTTCCGAGCCACCAGCAGATGCATCCAAGCCACGTTGCCTACAGAAGGGGCAAGTTGGGAGACCAAAAAGATAAAAATCAACGGAGGGACCAACACCACTTTTGTGAAAAGACAGGGATAACATGGAGACACAACAACGCAGCATTGTTTACTCAAGCCAACACAGTAGGAATAAGATCTCAAATGTGTTTTTAAAAACAGTGCTTCATACATTCTATAAATTAAAAATCAAACGCAAGATCCAGTCACACAAGACACTGAAATAGACACATCAAATTGTGTTTGTGTGTGTGTGTGTACACAAGCATGTTTATTTTTGAGAAAATTCGAACAATTAATCAGTGAAACGAGTTGCTTCCAGAAGTTGTGGGTGCTCCCAGAAGAGATTGGACAGCCATTTGTCTGAAATTATATAGTGTCTCCTGTTTTAGCAAGGGGTTGGACTAGAAGACCTCCAAGGTCCCTTCCGCCTGCTATTTTGTTATTTCCCAACTCCTAGTGGGAATGGGGATTTTTGGGAAGGAGTTAGGCATTGCTCTCACTTATACTGCAATAGACATAGCAAATAAATCCAGCAGCTAAACAGAAGTGGTTTTCTTAAAAAAAGAAATATCTCTTACGACAGGGTTTTCACGTTTGCCTGTCCGAATCCCCGAGGGGGAGTCGTAAGTAACTTGTGGGGGCTACACACTAAGTTGAAATCTGATCAGGCTTACCCAGACAAAATGCAAACAATGTCAAGACTCACTGCAAACTTTGCTCCCTTTTTTGTGTGGGCAAAAGAAGGGAGGCTGCTGGCTTGGAAAGTCTGAGAAATGCAGTGAGAAATACTAAGGGGTGTATTTGTTTTTCCTCTAACCCAACGAAAACATTATTTTTATTCATGGGGAGAGGAAAATTTGCACACATCCATTCTTTCTCTAAGGGCCCAGCGTACGCCAAACTTTGAGAACCAGCCCTGAACAACAATGTCAAATTAATAACAAAATGAAATTCAATGGTGAAAAAAGTAAGGTTCTACATTTCGGCAAGAAAAACCAAATGTACAGGTATAGTATAGGGGGTGCCTTGCTCAATAGTAGTAACTGTAAGAGGGATCTCGGAGTCCTAGTGGACAATCACTTAAATATGAGCCAGCAGTGTGCTGCAGCTGCCAAAAAAGCCAACACAGTGCTAGGCTGCATTAACAGAGGGATAGAATCAAGATCACGTGAAGTGTTAATACCACTTTACAACGCCTTGGTAAGGCCACACTTGGAATACTGCATCCAGTTTTGGTCACCACGATGTAAAAAAGATGCTGAGACTCCAGAAAGAGTACAGAGAAGAGCAACCAAGATGATCAGGGGACTGGAGGCTAAAACATATAAGGAACGGTTGCTGGAATTGGGTATGTCTAGTTTAATGAAGAGAAGGACGAGGGGGGATATGATAGCAGTGTTCCAGTATCTCAGTGGCTGCCCCAAAGAAGAGGGAGTCAAGCTATTCTCCAAGGCGCCTGAAGGCAGGACAAGAAGCAACGGATGGAAACTAATCAAGGAGAGAAGCAACCTAGAACTAAGGAGAAACTTCCTGACAGTTAGAACAATTAACCAGTGGAACAACCTGCCTCCAGAAGCGGTGAACGCTCCAACCCTGGAGGTTTTTAAGAAGAGACTGGACAGCCATTTGTCCGAATGTTTCCTGCCTGAGCAGGGGGTTGGACTCGATGACCTCCAAGGTCCCTTCCAACTTTATTATTATTATTATTATTATTATTATTATTATTATTATTATTATTATTATTATTATTATTATTATTATTATTATTATTATTATTATTATTATTATTATTATTATTTTCACATCAGGCTTGTTTCGTGGGTCTGAATGTTATATCCAAAAGCTCTGGCTACCGAATGGTAATTCAGAAGTGTGCTTGACAGCAGAAGTCTGGGCGATGGTTCTTAAAAAGTCCCAATAAAAGAGAACATCTGCAGCTCAGGGTTTGAATTGTGGGATCCTTGGGGCTCAATAAACTTATTGTTTGCTTGCAAACATTTCGTTACCTGACTAGGTAATATCATCATTGAGAAGGAGTGCGGGATTTGCTCCCTGTTTATTTATAAGAGTTTGCCCTGCCAGTGTTAGCGGACGTGTGACACCAGATAAACAATCAAGTAGAAAACAATACCCTAATCAAGGAACTGTCAAGGAAAAAAAACCACACCCCCACCAACAAAAGCAAGGAAAGCTACTGTATATAAACAGGGAGCAAATTCCACCTTCCCTGGCACTGACAACATTACCTAGTCAGGTAATGAAATGTCTGCAAGTAAACAACCAAGCTCAGCGATCACCAAGGACCCCACAGTTCTTAAGAAGTTCGGAGCCTGATATAAAGAAGCACATATGTACAGGAACAGCTAAAATGGACTCCAGAAAATGGTAGAGGACAGGAAGGCCTGGAGGAACGTTGTCCATGGGGTCGCGATGGGTTGGACACGACTTCGCAATTAACAGCAACAAATGTACAGGAACATGCACAAGAAGAGTTAAAAAAAATCTAAATAAAAGAAGGTGGGTCAAGAATGCATCAGGCACCCGCACAACTTACCTACATAGACCCTGCCATGCTCGACAGAGGCCGGGACGGCCCGGATCATGTACTTCTTTGTCACCAGCCCTGTCTCATAAAAATCCTTCATCAGCAGATGGTTCTCCCCATAGATGCCCGTCGGACGAAGGGCACAAGTCACTAGCTGCTTCCCGTTGGCCATCTGTGGAAAAGAAGAGATTTGCTGTTGCTGATTGGCACAATGAGCATGTTGTGGGTGGACCATCCACCATCGAGACAAGCTAGAAGTTGGGGGCAGAGTCTTTATTTAGGTTTCGGGTTTGCTGGACTTTCATCCCAAGTTTCCTTGGAGATTAAGGCAAGGGATCTAGCCATCCTTCCTCCTGGCTTCCCATAACAAGAAGCATGTGAGGTAGGTTAGGCCAGGAGTAGGCAACCTTGGCTCTTTTATGACTCGTGGACTTCAACTCCCAGAATTCCTGAGCCAGCATGGCTCAGCATGGAAACCTCTCCATTTCTCCTCAGCATGGCTGGCTCAGGAATTCTGGGAGTTGAAGTCCACGAGTCATAAAAGAGCCAAGGTTGCCTACCCCTGGCTTAGGCCAATGGAGAGGACCATTAGGCCCAAAGTCACTTCTCCTGTGAACTTTCACAGCTGAAAGTGGACCACACCTGGGCTTCTCCAATCAGATTCCACTAACAACTCAATGAGCTAGACTGGGCTGAGATCATACATGGTCTAGGGATATTGAGTGAACGTCCATCATTCAGGACCTGGGCCTTTCCTCACCGTGATGTATCACTGGCTGTCTTAATCAAGACACCAGCATTGGGCCCAGGAGGTCCAGGGTTCAAACCCCACAAAATGACTGGGGGAAAAGAACACAGGGAAGGCAGTGTGAACAGCACTATACAGCATTGTACGCCAACTAGACACAGGGACAGTTTCTTCTCTTGTCCCTTGTGCCCTCACTCTGCTGAACACCTAATTCTCGCAGCTGACAAAATACAGTACTAAGTGGTTGTTGTTGTTTTGCCTAATGCAGTGGTTCTCAGCCTGTGGGTCGGGACCCCATTTGGGGTCGATCGACCATTTCACGGGGGTCGCCAAGCAAGGCTTTCCGCCATTTTTTTTGTCTGCCATTTTTCCCCCCTTTTCCGGCGGGTGCCTTACCTCCCTTGGGCTGGGCCAGCTGGTGGTCGGCCTGCTCCGTCTCTGCCGCTTGCCAGCTATGCCTCGGCCGGCGCAGGGGGCGGAACCACGCATGCGCGGTGCTCCCGGGCAGGGAAAGTCCTCGACTTACGACCGGTTGGGTAGTCCTCGACGTACGACCGGTTTAGTCCTCGACTTACGACCGGTTTAGTCCTCGACTTACGACCGGTTTAGTCCTCAACTTACGACCGGTTGGGGTCGCGGCATTAAAAAGGTTGAGAACCACTGGCCTAATGTGTATGTATATTAACTCACAGGGTGTGGCTGCAGTTGTATTGTTTATCCCCTTTATTATTTTTTACTTCCTCCTTTTTATTGGCTGCACACTTTAGTATTTATTATTATATTGTGTTGTTTTGCAAGTACACTGAAGTTCTTCTGTACCAGAGACAAATGCTTGTCTGTCTAAGCACACTTGGCCAAATAAATAAACTATATAAATAATTATATAAGTAAGCATAGCTCCTTCAAGCCGCCCTGAGTCCGCGAGGAGAAGGGCGGGATATAAATCCAAATATAATAATAATAATAAAAAGTAGCCTTCCCCATCCCTGTACCCTGCAGATAATTTGACCTGCAATGCACAAATCAATCCACAGCCAGCACATGCTGCCTAAATCAGTGTTTCTCAACCTTGACAACTTTAAGATGTGTGGACTTCAACTCCACCTGGCTGGGGAATTCTGGGAGTTGAAGTCCACACATCTTAAAGTTGTCAAGGTTGAGAAACACTGGCCTAAATCTTTTGCAGAAGACATTCAAACGCCTCTCTCAAGTTCTAGCTTACCAATAGCCCATTGGCTTCGAGGACCAGCTGCTCAGCCTTGGCTTTGCTAAGTGGGTATGGATGGTGGTAGACGCTCTCATATGTCGTGTCCTCGTTGCCCCTGGAAGCAAGGGAAGAAAGCATCACAGACAATCAAAATCCGGTGCTTGCAACAGGTGGGACCAAGAGCAACTAACAAGGTTACAGTTAATAAGGTTATGCATCTCAAATACACTTCAGCGCTGTTCAGCTAAATCCAGTGCAGTTGCTATAGTGGTTGCTGCTTCCAGCATTACTTAGAAGAGGACAAAGTTCCTAAACCCTTAAATGATATGAAGAAGAAAGGGGGGGGGAATCTGTTACTTGACTCCCCCATGATGGAAAGGGTTGTTTCTAAAAGATGTTGAGACTCTAGAAAGAGTACAGAGAAGAGCAACAAAGATGATTAGGGGACTGGAGGCTAAAACATATAAGGAACAGTTGCTGGAATTGGGTATGTCTAGTTTCATGAAGGACGAGGGGGGACATGATAGCAGTGTTCCAATATCTCAGGGGCTGCCACAAAGAAGAGGGAGTCAAGCTATTCTCCAAAGCACCTGAAGGCAGAAGAAGAAGCAACGGAGGGAAACTAACCAAAGAGAGAAGCAACTTAGAACAATTAATCAATGGAACAACCTGCCTCCAGAAGCTGTGAATGCTCCAACACTGGAAGTTTTCAAGAAGAGACTGGACAGCCATTTGTCTGAAATGGTATAGGGTTTCCTGCCTGAGCAAGGGGTTGGACTAGATGGCCTCCAAGGTCCCTTCCAACTTTTTATTATCAATATTAATAATAATAATAATAATAATACCAATAGTAGTAGGCGCCTTGAGTGCAATCCCAAAACAACTGGAGCACCACTTGAACACCATCGGCATTGACAAATTCGCTATTAGTCAATTGCAAAAGGCGGCCTTACTAGGAACTGCTTCCATCCTGCGACGATATCTGTAATACCATCAAACATCCACATCTGCCTATCCCAGGTCCTGGGAAAGGACTCGATAGGTAGACAAAATGCCAAATCCAGTCTGAACATCTGGCTGACTGTGCGATGATCCATAATAATAATAATAATAGGTTTTTCCTATATGCAGCCATTAAAGGTACAAGGATACAGGTAGTCCTTGACTTACAATCACGGTTGAACCCAAAATTTCTGTTCCTAAGCGAGACAGCTGTTAAGTGACCTTTCTTGCCACAACTGTTAGGTGAATCCCTGCAGCTGTTAGTAACCTGGTTGTAAAGTGAATCTGGATTCCCCATTGGCTTTGGTTATCAGAATGTCGCAAAAGGTAAATCACCCGAGTCATACATTTGAACCAGTTGCCACGTGGTCCAAATTTTGATCACGTGACCATGGGGATGCTGCAACGGGTATTAAGCATGAAAAACGGTCCTAAGTCACTCTTTTCAGTGCCATTGTAACTGAATGGTGACCGAATAAATGGTTGTAAGTTGAGGATCACTTGTACCCTGCGGTGAAAATTTTTCAAATTTGCGAGCCTTGGGGTGACTAAGCTTCTAAACACGAACAACAGTCAACTTTTCCTACTTTTTAAAAGGGAGGACAGAACCAACAGCTTGGCCCACACCCCTAGAGAGCGCTGTGCCTTTAAGGCTCCTTCCCCGTCTGTCTCCATGGTGACTGTTAGTAACTATATCCCTGTTGTCATGGCGTTGCTAGGAGAACCCGGGGGAAACCCTTGAGCAGGGCCAAAACATTCGGGTCTGGCCTAAATCAGGGGAACTCCCTGATATTCAGAGCCAGCATTGAAACTCAGTTAACTCTTTAGGTGTTCGCTTCTATTTAGAAAATATGCATGTTTAGGCCCTTCTATAGCTAAAACAGTAGGAGAAGGCTCAAAAGAATAAGAAACTCCAAAGCTGACCAAATTAGAACATAAAATAATAGGGTTGAAAAAGGCCTCGGTCGTCTTCCAGTCCAACCCAAGGGAAATTCAGCAGAAATTGTAGAAAAACTCACCGGTTTTCTTCGCCTCATGGAGCGCGACATTATTTATTTGTTATTTATTTATTTTTTAAAAAAAGTAGCTCATACCTGTAGAAATGGTGGCCTTTTGTGTTAGGTCCTACGACCTCCATGCTACTGGTGTAAATCAGATACTGGACTCCTTGTGCGACACAGGCCTCAATTACGTTCTTGGTTCCTAGAGGGAAAGAGGGGGAAAGGGGATAAGATGAGGAGAGGAGGAAGAAGAGGAGAAACAATGCAAAACATGGCAGTCCACCACGGCCCTCGCCTGCTAGGAAAGAAACAGTTCTGCCAGGAATGAAAAAAGAGAAGGAATGAAGTTTGTGAGGTTTTTATTGTCTTGTGGAAAACGAAAGGACTTTTACGAATTCCAGAGGGTTTTTAGCAGAGAGATTTATTGCGCAGGTTCAGAAGCATTAGAGACAAGCAATTCTGAACCCTGAGGGCGGGATCAGACTTCAGTTTTATGCTATCCTTCTTTCAGGAACAAAGAACTACACATTGAAATACACATTGTAATACATTAGGTTCGTTTCTCACGGGTATACAATGGAGGGTTTGCTACATACATTGTATCCATGTGCAATGCGCATTAGGTTAGTCACATATTACTGACACAGAATTTTCCCAGTGATTATGCATTATTCCTGACACATCATTATTCTAGT